GATCATGCCTGTTCTGCTAGTGTATCAGGCTATAGGGGTAGCCTATTTGCCTCGAAACCCGAAAGTCACGAAGTTTGAATCCAACCTGACGGGTTTGATAAGACGAGGTAGAAACACTAATGTAGCCTGGATAAGAACTACTTTTTAGGTGCAACTCAAAGCAGGCAGCAAGCATTCGTTTTAATGCACCGACGAAGGGCTCGCTCTGAGTGTCACAAAAAACTAGTCTAAACTGATACAACTTGTCAAAAATTAGCCTCAAATTACAAGTGATTATAGCAATAATATAGTTTTCTTTTTCCCCCTCACAACTAGAGTTCTACTCACTAGAGTTGGCTTTCCAAGCCTTTAGTTGGTATACTGGATATGTCACTGTTTACAGACAATAAAATGTCTACATGGTCTCTATTTTGGTTGTAGTCTCCTTTAGATGTATAGAAGTGGTCTGAACTCGCTTTATCAACTTAGTCGTGTTGTTAGCGAGACTTAATTGGACGCACCTTGTCCGGAGTCCTCTGCTGTAGTAGTTACCATAATTCGCAGTGTTGGATAGTCGACACATTTATCTTGTGTCCCATTCGAGCGAATGACTGCAATATCCAGAAAAGGTAATTTCTTCTCTTCCTCTACTTCGTGAATTTGATTCTTTCATCAAGCTGGTTTATAAACATCATAAGATCTTTCAATTTTCCTCTTCTGTACGAACAAAGTACAAAGTAGTTAGCTAACTATCGTATGAATACTCTTGGTTGCAGCGGTGATATCCTGAGATCTTCCTCTAATTTGATCATATATATATTTTCCAAAAGAGTTGAATGAGGCGATACCATATGAAGTCCAAATATTTGTTCATAACTGTTGAGGTTGAATGCGAAGCAGGTAGTCCTTATTTTCAAGTTGTCAACGACTCTTTCTTGATCCTGTCTGCTTTCAGGATACCCTCCTCTCGATCCAAGATCTCCTGCAGAGCTGTTAGTGTCTCTTCTCCAGAGATAATATAGGACATACATCAAAACTTTAAATTGCTATCGCGTCCAGTCTGTGCAATGTTTTCGGTTATTTCTGACGTTTCGGTGTCCATTTTCAGGCAGAGCCTTCTGTAAAACTTATATGGTGACTGGAACAACCAAAAATTGGTCTAAAGATTGACTTCACTTGTCTCTTTGATAAGTTCTAGCTTGATGCTGAGAATGGCAAGAATCGCTGGCGATGCCGGCAAAACGTCTGGGAATATACCAAGTCCACTGTCAAACACTGGCATTTATGCTAACTACTAGGGCAGAGGACTTCGGACAAGGTGTGTCCAGCTTACTTGCCCTGACAAGACTACTAAATCGCAAAACGTGGTCTGACAACTTCAATAAAAAGTCCAACTTATACTTTAACTTAATGGTCCTGAGCCTATGCAAGACGGTAGAGTACCTGTGGCTACCAGCCTAAGTTGAAATCACTTTGTTCAGTTCGAAAATTTGCTACCAGAGCTTAAAACTAGTGATTATGAACATCTGTCATCAGATGGTAGATTTGCATGCCCATCTACAGGATTCACTTGACATACTTCCTTCTCAAATATGCAGGCATTTGGAGTAAAAATTGTTGAGTATGTCTTAAGCAATTGAATGTTAGTAGAAATAAGTCTGCCAATAAAAATGATTAACTCATCATATATGTCTGAGTTTTGGAATATAGTGCGTAAATTTCTGTGTTTTGCAAAAGTAAATATTCTATTAAAAGCGTCCAGGCCACTCGCAAGTTTACAAGTGTATTTTTTTGATGTTTGTGCTGACGGCCATCGGAGAGATACAAATGGCTCTTGAGATGCTTGGTCTCCAAAGAGACTAGTAGACCAATAATTTAATTTTTTTACAACATGGGTTGACATTTGATTAGTTTGGTCTGAAAGTGCAGTCCGCAAAATTTGAAACTGTATGGAAGAAACTGGAGAAGTGATGGTATATACAGGAAGCAGGAACTCAAATGAGTATATTTCTAGTATTACTTATGCATGTCTATGACATACAGGATGGCCCTGTATCCCTCGGCTTGCAGGCATCACTGTTCGGTACTAACTTGCAGTATCCTCGCGCCAGCATACTCCTCGCCGTCATGGTTCACATTGGAGTGACCAAAAACAGGCTGCTTACGTGTATTTGAGTAAACCTGTCCTACCAGTGTAGTCTGTTCAGGAGTTGAAGTATAGTTTAGGCTAGTTGTACAAGTCTCTGGTATTATTATGTTGAATGGCCAGTGGGCGGACGTGGAGGTTGTTAAGGGGGAAAAAGGGGCGTTGCCAAGTGTGCCGATAGTGGAATCATATGGTTGATAGGTGGGTCTGCTGTCAACCCGAGACTCTTCGGCTGTCACCAACCTACGAATGCTCTGGTTGTGGCAAACAGCCTGTATAAGTTGGACTAAACGGTAAAAAAGAAAGACATCCACACTTTTCTTTGACACCATCCTATCCATTTGGCCTGATAAAAAGTCTTTATATAGTCTTTATAAACGTATCAAGTCTACATAATTATTCAATATAGAACCTAAGAAGTGGGTATGCGATTTTTGTGAAAATACCACTCAACCTGGATGCATCTGTCGGAATGACGCGACTTTATGTGAATCATACGGCTTATTTGAGTCCTATCATTCAACTGCATCCCGCGCAAATAAGTGGCCAAGTCAATTATTCTGGATACAGCTTTAAAGCATGATGCACAGGCTTATTTTTCTATTTTTGGAGCTCCATGAAGAGCTAAATCGTGGAAAGCTATTTGAAGTCGATTGAAACATTGTCAACCAATGTTGGATTCCTTATACTCTTACACAATCTTCAATTTAAATATATTTTAATACCCTTGAAACTATGTGATAAGTTGGCCTTCGCTTGCCCGACTCACAACCAGTCCTTAGTCTACAGTGAACTTTTTTGGGCAAACATTTGTTAGAGCAATTAAATGCGACTCTATTTATGCTCCTTTGATGGGAATGGCTAAACTGGCCTAAACATTTTCTGCATAATGAAACTCGCAAGCTCGATCTAATCCAGGCTGAACGGCAATATTGTCTTCGGTTAGGCTTCATCGGCATCTCTGGAGAGACTGGAATCCAACAATTTTGACTCAAAAGCAAGCACAACCGCAAAAGCCATACGATCTTAGAGGCGTTGAGCTATACGCCTTAGCCTAGACAAAGCAAGCTACCCTATTAGAGGCTTATGGGAATATTTATTAAAATGTTGAACTTCAAATTAGATAGGCAACACAATATATATATATATATATATATATATCTATATATATAGCTGATAGCTATAACAAATACAATTTGCTTCTTTAACAATCCCATCAAAGAATTGTAATATGGAACATGGCCAAGCTTTCTTGAAAGTAACTTTTAACTTATGATCCGAGAGTACTCGTGACAGCCTGACGTAGGGGTTAACGTGCCGAGACTATACGCTACACTACCACAAGCCGATGAAACCTAAATGAGGTCGAAACTTCAGTCCACCCTTGCTGAGAATACCTTATTGGAAGCAAGGCTATGGGAAATTCAATGGAATCATAATACCTACTCGTGTAATTGTGGGAAAATTCAACTATCACTCCTCTTATATCAGATTTACTGTTAGTCTCGAATACCAACTTACAGAACTGGAAAGAAGAAGAATTGTCCTTGAGTTGTGATTGTAGATTCGGGCCCAGATGCCCTTAGCAACCAAGATATATTCAAGTTGTGCCTTAGTATGTCGTGCAATGACATATTTTCTCATATAGGGAAACCAGCACTGTGGAAGACTCTCCAAGCTCGTAATCTAGAATAGTAGTCAGCAATTCTATCCATTCTTATAATCCAAATCTGCCATCTTAATGAGGTATTCCTTGATTTGGTTGGCTACTATCTGCATATAGGTGTGTGCAATTAGCGCAAATATAGCCTTACATAAAATACATGTCATCCTGCAATGTTACTTTATACTTCATTGTGTAGCTTGTAATGATTGACTTGAGGGGTTGGAATCTGAGCCAGCCTCTTACTCCGTACTCCATTCTGATCCCTCCCCTTACTCCTATTCAATAGGCATTCGTCCTGCTCAATTTCCTATACTTAGCTTTTGAATCAGTATGTTAGTGGTTTCGTTAAGTTCTATTGGCTTCATTGACTTACGCTTAGATATGAAGTCTCCATATCTTGATAAACGTTATTTTACAATATATGAAGACCAAGATGTTGTGGCCTCTGGTGTGGTCGCAGTCTCCTTTCGATTGATAGAAG